TGCCACAGCTTTGAAGTCTCATTGCCTGCTGCAACTGAGATCAAACAACGTGCACCTGCTATCATATACAGGGTACCTGTCTTCCTGCCTCGGACAATCGTCATTGCGCCCTTTGAGATCTTTCAATCATCTCCATGGAAGGTCGTGGTGTATCCTTCGCCAGCCAGCTGGCCTACGGATATTAAATTTTTTCTCAGGTCGGGAATATGCCTGACATTAATGCCCGGTCTTTCCACAATTCCAACACTCGATAGCCTTCGAGTTGTTGCTTGGATTCCTTGATTTGAACCTCCTGTCCTTTGATCTACCTCTGTAGTTTGATTTGCCCCGTCCATTTCCTCTGGTTGAATTTCTACCTCTTGACTCTGTATGCAATACTGAAGAGGTTGTAGCTTCACCCGACTCTCTCCGTCGGATCTCCTCACTGAGAACCAAATCACGAACGTCGCCGAACTTCAACTTTTTCTTTCCCGATGAGCTACTCACAGCTGTGACTGTAGCGTTCCAACTCTCTGGTAGGGAAGATAAAAGTATCAACGCCCGAACTTCATCATCAAACTCAATCTCAACAGAAATATTGTTTTCACATATATATTTCTTCATCAAGATACCATGAAGAAATATTGTTTTCACATTTAATTGATCTAACTCCAATCCATAATATGACACCAAAGCTAGCAAAATCCGAATCGAATAATGCTTTATCACTAGAGAGAAAACCTCATTATAATCAATACCTTCCTCCTATGCATAGTCCTTCGCAACCAACCTAGCCTTGAACCTCACTAGAGTACCTTCAATGCCCTTCTTCTTCGTGTATACCCACTTGCAACCAATTACCTTCCGCCCCTTTGGAAGCTCAACAAGCTCCCATGTATCATTCTTGTGAAGAGACTCCATCTCTTCCTGCATAGCTACTTGCCACGAATTAGCCTCCGAACTCTGCTTGGCCTCTCTGAATGTAGTATGCACCAACTCATCGATACTCTCCACCGGAAGTGCATACACAACTACTGTGTCGGTATACCATGCTAGCATCCGCATGTCTCTCCTCTGTCTCCGAATCGCAATAGAATCCTAAACCTGAGCTGTTGGTCCCTGATCCTGCACATCTATACCCGTATCCTCCTCATCGTTGCCATGCTCACCTGACGTCACCTCAGTCAGTACTCTAATGGATATTGTACCATTTGGACAATGTGGAGCTATATCGATCTCCACTACATGCGATATCTCCTCCGTCGGGTCGCTCTCCACCTGATGAGAGCTAGGGAGCTTCAAGATAGAAGTCTCATAAAAATAACGTCTCTACTCATCACAATCTTCCTATCAACTGGATCCCATAGCTTTTATCCTTTTACACCACACTTGAATCCTACAAATATGACATTTCTAGCTCGAGGTTCTAATTTATCTGTTTTAACATGATAAAATGTAGGGCACCCATATATCTTGTACTAGTCATAGTAGTGTGCTGGCTCTTCCAACCACATCTCCATAGATGTCTTCCACTCAATCGCAGATGAAGATAGTCTATTAATGAGGTGGCTCGCATATGAATGTGTCTCGGTCCAAAAGATCTTCTCTAAACCACTCTATGATAATAAGCATCAGATCTTTTTCAGTAAAGACCGATTTAACTTCTCTACCACCCCATTCTGCTGTGGTAGATGAATGTAGCCTATTAATGAGGTGGCTCGCATATGAAAGTGCCTCAGCCTAAAAGATCTTCTCTAAACCACTCTGTGATAATAAGCATCAGATCTTCTCCAGTAAAGACCGATTTAACTTCTCTATCACCTCATTTTGCTGTGGTATATGACTAACTGTGAAGTGCCTCTCTATGCTCTCGTCTCGACATAGCTACAGAAAGAGATCTGATGTGTACTCACCATTATCTCGACATAGCAACGTCTTGATCTTTCTCTCAGTCTGTAGTTCCAATCTCTTCTTCCACTCTACAAACAAATCTAGGACTTTATTCTTATGCTTCATGGTGTATACCCATCAACGCCTAGAATAGTCATCAACGAACGTGATGAACCAATGTCGACCACCAAGTGATGTTGTCTTGGTGGGACCCCAAATATCTGTGTGTACGTAATCCAAGATGCCCGTCGTCCTATGGATGACTGTCCTGAACTTTACTTTCGTCTTCTTGTTAAGTACATAGCACTCACAAAACTCAACATTTCCATTCTTGGCCCCCTTCAATAGCTCTTACTTGTATAAAGCCTGTAGTGACTTTTCACATGTGTGCCCCAACCTGTAGTGCCAAAGTCTGCTCATATTTGTCTCTGAAATAGCTGAAGTAACCTGGCCAATCTCGATGCTCTCCTTCAGATAATATAAGTTCCAACTGTGGACTCCCTTCATCACCATCAAATATCCCTTAGTAATCTTTGCTACAGCATCCTCAAATGTCACCTTGAATCCCTTCGCCTCCAAAGTTCTAACGAAGATAAGATTCTTTTTTAGCTGAGGAACAAATCTTACCTTCTTCAATTTACGGACTACTCTATCGTGCATCCGAATCCTCACGGTACATATCCCATAAATACCACAGGATTGATCATTTTTCATGACAACAACACCCCCATTAAGTCTCTCAAATGATGCAAACTAATATCGTCTAGGAGTAACATGATAAGTAGCGTCAGAATCAAGCATCCAATCTGATGTATCCAAGTGGTTCACTTCCAAAGTAATCAGTAGAGAAAAACTCGAATCATCTGAATCATCGCCTCTCGTAACGTTTACCTCATTGGCCTTATGACCCTTTTTCTTACCATTCTCCTTCTCCTTAAACTTTGGATAGTCTCTCTTCTAATATCTTGCTTCTTACAGAATGCACATTGGTTCTTTGCTAACGGGTGATGGCCTCTCGACTTTGACCTACCTCTATTGTCACCTCTCGGATATGGGCTTCTACCTCTCGTCGACAAAGCCTCTCTTAAAGTACTAGAGCGGGAAGTCTCCTTGTCCTTCCTCCTCAAATCATAGTTCATCAAAGTATTAGTTACTTTACTATAGCTGATAGAAGATCTTCTATTCAACAAAGTAAGCACAAAGGTATTATACTCCTCATCCGGTAAGGAGCCCAACAAAATAATCGCCTTGTACTCATCTGATATCTTCTCATCAATATTCGCCAAGTCCGACAACAACTTAGTATAATTGTTCACATGAACTGCTAGTGAGGTGCCCCTGGACATCTGAAATCTGAATAACCTATGCAACAAGTACAATCTGTTCTCAACCCTCTTCGTAAGATACTTGTTGTTGAGAATTTTCCACATCTTCATTACAGACGTCACCCCAAACACATCATATTTCAGCTCCTGTTACAAACAAGACCTAATCACCCCACAAGCGTTCCTATTCATCTTTTATCATACCGTCTCTTCATATTTTAGTGGCCTCTCATGGACCATGATGGTCTCCTCCAATTTTTGAGCATTGAGCGTATCCTGAACATCGCTCATCCACAATCAAAAATTGATCTTGTCGTCATATTTAACCACACTAATTTTAGTGTTCTGAAAACTAATTTTAATTGTACCCGCTATGTTGTTGCTTTCACCAACTTCTTCACCCATACTCACAAACTTTAAATTGTAGAGAAAAATTCAAACTTGATAGAATTTAGAAGTTACCCAACTAAATCCAAGAACGGATTCCAAAATAGATCTCCTAACCACACGAGGAAAGCAGAATCTTTAACGATAACCCCAAACACTATCTCCACCGAAGCCTAGAACTCCAAGAATCAAGCTTCCACGACGAATCTTCCTCCACCTATTGTCAAAACCCTAGATCTGAAATCTGAGCTCTGATACTAATTGTTGTGTGCCTATGCGAAAGCGTGCTCGCACACCGAACGAGTCTGCGAGCCACGGGAGAAGAAAACCAAACTAAACACGAGCACAATCCAATCCAAAATACGACAAATCAAACCAAACACAAAGATATACGTGGCTCGGTAATTTACCTATGTCCACGGAGAGAGGATGGGGAGATTCCACTAAATCAAGTAGAGTACAAATTGTTACAATCTCACAAAATCACTCAAATAAAGCTTAAACCAAATCTCTCAACTTGCTCACAAGTTCTCCGTCTCAATATGCTCAGTACAATCTCAAATCTCTGATTATTAACCTTAGAAAATCGTGTCCCTATTTATATCAAAATAAAAACCTAAACAGAATCCAAACAGGAAACCAAATTGTGCAAAAAACCCGCTGTACGTCGACTTATCAGTCTCTATAAGTCGACTTAACAGAGCGCAAAACAACAACTGGAGAGCAGAATGTAAGTCGACTTAACAATGTCCATAAGTCGACTTGACCGAGCGCAAAACAACAACTCCAGAACAGAACGTAAGTCGACTCGTGCACAGACACAAGTCGACTTACCATAAGTCGACTCATGCCTGTGCATGAGTCGACTTATGACAGAAAAACTGGATTTTCTCAGTTCTCCACAATAATTTTCTGAGTTCTCCACAATCTGACACAGCCTGATTATGACTAATTACCGCTCGTCAAAATTATCATGAATTGGATACACTCTGAACCGTCTACGGAATATTACGGAATGTTTCCTTTGACTTGTTGGCAACTGTACTAGCTAGTCTAAAAGGCAGGACATAAATCTGCATGTATGTCAAAAAATAGATGCACAGTGTAGGCAAAACAAAAATACGGACAAATTTGTGCACTAAGTTTGTACATATACATGTATGCGCGCGATATATGGATAACTAATTATTTATGTCCACGTCTAACTCGTTGCATTTGCCCAGTGCACGTTTCTTATTTCTGTAAATGAATCAAGCAAACAGACCCAACCTCTGAGATATTTCAGAATTGCTACCTACCGTGCTGCAGACACGGGCTCGATCGTGACTGGTACCCACTTGTTTGTCCTTTTTTTGTGAGGTTTTTTCAACTTGTCGCACCAAAAAAAGATCAGCTTCTGACGCTATTCAGTTGCAGACCTACATTAGGGATCGTATGGAGTAAAATCTCAGATCTTAGTTCACAATGTAAAAATGTGTGATTCATGTGGCCTCATATGATACCACATTTGTATTTGTTGCAGACCTAAACTCAAAGTATGATCTTCCCTTCTCTCTTTCTCTCTCTAGTACTTCTAATTTCCTCTCACCACATAAATTATCTAGTAATTTAGTATGCTCATTTATACTGGTTATCGATATATAACAGCCTGTGAATATGGTTATCTTACAAGATTCAATACACCAATGTAATGCTTAAAAATATTTACAAAATTTATTTGTGTCGTAACTTATTCATTTTATGTGATTTTAGAAGAACTTAATTTAAATTGGTTGTGTTTCCTAATTGTTTTTTTAAAATTATTTCTGATTCCCCCTCCAAAGTTGCTTAGATTACATACACTGCTGTATTGCAAAAACTATCAGTATGATCGAGTAGTTTGACTTGAGTAGAATCACTGTATTCTTATGTAATATTCCGGGGCTAAGCATCAAGTTATTACGATCTCTAATGGTTTTTTGAAACAGGTTGAATTTATGAGAAACATAGAGGATCGATACAGATGATTGGCTTTAGACGACCGAGACATTTGAGGATTACTTAAGTTTAAAACAAGTTGGTGATAGACTAACAGTAAGCTAATTCTGCGGTAACATTAATTTGTTTATACTGCAGATCTCATGTTACTGATCGAGTGACAGTTAATGCAATACAAATAATTGAATTTATTGTACAATTCTGTTTGTATATGAGTTAGCTAATTCTTGAAATCACTGAAAAATGAAAGAAAGCTCACTAAACTAATGGAAGTAAATGCTCAATCCAAGATGCAAGGTCCCAAGTAAAAACACATAATGTCAAGATCACAAGCTTAGGAAAAGCTGGGCCAAAAAAGAGGAGTTGCAGAGTATGCAAGTCACGCGCTAAACATGGAGATACAAGGCTGCCATTTTTTTTCCTTCCATAAACAAAGCATGAAATCTAATAGAACATAGGCAACATAAATAAAGACATTAATCTATTGAATATGAATCATAGCCAAGACATAGAAAGTGTTGTGCCTCGAGAATCCAAACCAATCGCCGAGAAAAGATAAACCAACACACCAAATCAATAGCACAAACAATCAAACACCAGTTTTACGTGGTTCGGCAAGATGCCTACGTCCACAGGGCAAGGATGGGGGAGTTTTCACTATAAGAAATCAAGAGGAACAAACTAGGGTTACAATCTCTCACCAAAAACCCACAACAACTCACTCTTGATCTCTCCAGATGCTCCTAGAATAGAAGCCCAAAGAAAACCCCTTTAACAGCTCAAAGCCCTTGCCTTACAAACCCTAAAATCGTGTTTGGGTATTTATAGAAAACCCAAACGAAACGGGTCTGAAAAACAGACCCAAACTCAACCCGCTTCGGCGGTCGACCGGACCGGTCGACCGCGATCCATCACGGTCGACCGACCCGGTCGACCGCCCTCCTTCCAGCAACATTCCCAGAATCCAGAGAGATTGGCGGTCGACCGGCCCGGTCGACCGCTACCATCTTCGGTCGACCGGTCCGGTCGACCGCCACCAATCCTGAAGCACAGTAAGTGACGTGCACGAAAGCGGTCGACCGGGCCGGTCGACCGCCACACTGTCTGCACGTCGAGACCCAAACGGGAGTGCGGACACTCAACCCCAAACCAACTGTGTCTACTCACCAAATCGGCTGCATCAGAAAACTGACTGCCTACGTATCCTCTCCAAGGAATCAAGCCTTCACGTAGTTCACCCAATGGCCTCCAAAGGCCCTCAATCCAACCTGCGGCTGATAACATCATAAACGACCCCAATCTGAAAACAATCCAACACCTCCACCTGAGATGAAACAATGGTCGTATCCAAAACATATCCATCAGCTGCATCCATATCAACTACCTCATCATCATCTGCACCCATAAATAAATGACTCCCACGCTGTGCCACCTCAGCTGGAATTGTAGGCATCGAAAATTACCTATAGGTTTCCACGAACAGCTCAAAGCTAAGAGAAGACGATGAACGTCACTATCCAAATCATAGAAGCTTGATTGACGTCGACGAACGCTTGAAGTGAATCGTCGAACTATGTGAAGCAACGGAGTTTCAGAGTAATAAGGATACGAACTGATCGGGAGCCCCGTGTTACTTACAAAAGACGAAATGCCCTTCGTGTCTCATTTATTCCACAGATGATCTAATCATTGGAGCTTATAGAACTCTTCGTCAACTTTCCAACACACTTGGAATCACTCAAATCTGAGTTCAGACGAAGAATTTACGGCGAAAATAATCAAACATGCATAATGGAGCGTCTCAGGCTGAACTGGGGCACCCGGGGTGTCTCGGCACGGGCGAGACACCCTAGGATGTCTCGGCCCAGTTTGAGACACCCTGGGGTGTCTCCAACACAGAAAAGGCCTGTTATACGGTTTTAACCGCCCGAAACCTCCTAGAGCCTATAAATACAGCCCCGGATCCTCACTTTTTCAGATCTGGAATTCTCGTGCCTCGGCGAAGCCCTGCCGGATTGAAGACTTAAAGTACACAGATTTCAGGGAGGAGGAGGAGTTAGATCTGCAGCCTGATTCGTTCCTTAGGATTATCCTGTTGCGTTAATCTTAAGAAGAGTGATTATCTCGCTTCGCCGAGATAAGAGCTACAGTTCTCTCGATCCCTTCACGGATAGACGAAGCTCTGCCTAATTTTTCAGCAATCAGATCTGATCGACGGTGGTCCACGGATAAACCCCGACACAGACAAAGATCCCACGCAAGCAGAAGACCGATAAACGATCTCTGCGTTTGTTTGATAAAGTTGTAAACTTTTTATTTTCATTGTGTAAGGAGATCTTATAAAAAGATCAATTTTTTATTTCATTCGAGTTTATTGTAACGACTAAGGTTATAATAGATTCGATAACAATGAAAATATCAACTTTCACCGCAAACAAACTGGCGACCACAGTGGGAGCCAACAGCCTCGCGATAACAATGAAAATATCAACTTTCACCGCAAACAAACTGGCGACCACAGTGGGAGCCAACAGCCTCGCTGTCGAAGCTGTCGTGCCGCAGCCGACGATCAAGATCTCGGTGCTCGAAGAGGTCGAATACGAATTCGACCAGCAGAAATTCGAAGAGTACATCTCCTCCTCCTCCAGATCTGTCTCTCCTTGCAGGTGCAGGAAGGCCTCCTCCTCCCAGAAGATCTGTCGGTCTCCAGATCTGAAGAACCAAGAAATCGATCTTCCCGTAGCCGATGCTACAGTCGTACCTTGCAACGGTCTGCCGGCATCCAATGAGACCAGATCTACAGATCTGAACTCCTTCGCGATCAAGGAGCCGACTGCTGAAGGCGCGCCAACTCTATCAAAGAGAGCACGTCAAAGGAAACGCCAACGCCTCGCACGCCGATTCGCCAAGGCTTTGGATCAGGTGGATGAACTCTATTACCAAGCAGATCTGCAGTTCAGAAAGCGCCAAGTGGCTAATCTGTTGCCACGACCAGCATCGGGATCCTCCTCTCGATCTCCAATTAACGAATGGGTTCATGTTAAAAGAACCCGCTCTACTCTCGAGGAGCGAATCCAGAAACGCCGCGCCTTTCTTGCGCATGCCCGGACCCTTGTACGAAAAGCACAGGAAATGCAAAAGGAAGAGGCAGTTAAGAGATCGCCGAGATCCAAATAAGTTTGGGTGCCAAAAGCCAAATCAGCGCCTAAGGCAAAAGCAGGGGACGTTTCTCTCCGGCCTTCGTCAACTCCAGACCCTGCTCCCGCACTTCCGGTGAAGCTCTATGACAACATGGATCTCCCCAAAGCTAGAGTCTCATTGAAGGATCGCATCGGTTCTCTACCCGAGGATCGAGGAAAAGCGCCTGTTAAGGAAAGCTTGAGTTCGTTGAAGGAGCTTCGAGCCAACATCCGGACTGGGGGTCGTACGCGACCTCCTAACAAATTGATTTCTGCAACGGCCTGCTTGGCGGTGCGTGCAGAAAATCAGGAGCCCGTTAAGGTTTCACCCTCACAAAGGTGTGATTCCAAACGTGTGACTCCCGTAGATGCCAACAAGGCAATGTTTACTCAGAGGAAAACGCGTCAGACAGACGAACGCGTTATACCTGAGAATATATGTAAACAGCCGATAGGTTACTCCGACCGCAACGTTGATGAGTTGTACTATCGGACTGGGGGTACGAATAAATCTCGAAAGAGAAGTACCCGGGAAGCGGACTCTCGCTGTCCGTGTATCAAAATTATCAGGGCAGTATTATCAACGTGTAGCTACCCCAAGACCACTCCGCAGAGGGTCTCGGTATTCGAGAGAATCTCCGATGGAACGACGAAGCCCAAATCAAGGCGTTTCCACCAAAAAGGATCGGTTGCTCGAGATGATGAATTCCCAAAAGTTACCATCAACATGGTCAATAAGAGAAAATCTCCGATTTTTTCAAGTGGTTACAACCCTAATTTCTCTCCAGGAAGAAGAGTCGGTTCGGGAATAACCCAACGAATATCTCAGCTTCATCTAGAAGCCGTTGGACATAATGATTACCAGGGTGTTCGTGAAGGAATCCATTCCGATGACGAACTCTCGGATTCTTATTCCGCAATCGCCTCTGACGATACAACGTCTAGCATAGGACAAGCTTGGGAAGTGTTCATGATCAACACCGAGCAAATAGCCAAAATTATTGAGGATGCTCTGGCCAAGCAGAAAGAGGCATTCAAGATCGAAGTGGAAATGGCTATGCAGGAGATGAGACAAATGCACGACCAACAAATCCGAGCTTTGTCGAATCAGCTAAGTGAGTCCATCCGTCGCAGCACTGCTAACCAAACAGATAGCGATTCAAATGTGGATGAACACAATGCTGGGGGTGGTCCCACTAAAAATAACAACACTGGGGGTGGACCCACCAATGATGATAACACTGGGGGTGGTCGCATTATTCCTCTCGAAAATTATCCAAAACAGGATATAGATGAGGCCGAAAAGATGAAGGATCTCGAAAGCAAAATTGATGCCCTGATGTCTGCTCGAGAGGTGAAGAAGACCAGGATTCCGTGTC